AGTTCATAGCCGTTCCTTCAGAGCTTCGAAAGTCTCGTCCTGTCCTTTTTTTCCACTGGAAGGCTTTATTTTTCTCAGCTCATCACAACACCTAAACTAGCCCTAGAGACTAGAAATTTTAGAATAAATTCCGAGGGTTGAAAGTGTATGGACATAAATGACCTATGCTCCTCTCCCCTCTACGTGCGACGGCCTCCCGCTCCAGAAGTCTCCTCGGAGGTCACATGACCAAATTTCTCAATTATACAAGTCACCTCTTAACCTACATTGGCCCGTCAAAATACCTGTAATTATGGTTAGTTTCTTCTTAGGGAGGCCTATGAGTGTCCTATATCTTTTCAGATTGTACGCTCCCATTAAGCTTTTGGATTGACGAAGTTCCATGGTATTGTGCCAACGCAGTTCTCTTGGGATGGTATTTTCCTTCCTGAGCGCTACCTTTATCGTTTTGGATCCTATCGGGGTCGAGGCAGCAGCCAGTATGGCTAGCTTGTCCGCTTCCTCATAACATTCGACATCCATGTGCCCTGCATTCGATAGCAATTGGAGGGTATTGCTCTCAGCCAAAGCATTAAGCCTCTCTACACACTCCAGGACCAACGAGGATTTGATCTCGAAGGGTGAAAGAGCCTTCAGTACCGCCTAGTTATCGCTTAAAAACAGAATTCTCTCGCTTCGTTACTTCCTTCATAGGCACAGACTGATGGCATAGACTTACGCTAGAAAGATGCTGACGAAGGTTTCCAGGGGCACCGAGAGCTTCACTTGAGGGCCATAAACACCTGCTTCTTATACCCGCAGGCGTTTTAGAAACATTCGTATACGACTTTAGTGTGCTCGCCTGGACGTGTCCTTGCATGATAAAGGTACCCCAGCAAAGTTAAGGAGAGTCCGCTTAGCAGTTTGTTGGACTGATAGAATGCAATGCTCAAGTTCCAGCATTGCACCGTCGAACACTGCGCATCACCCCTGTAATGAAACCACACACCAGGCGTTGAATCTTGGTGAGGGACTGCCTCGCAGTTGCTAGGGTAGTCCGGGAAGCCCAGCCACCGCCCCTAATGTTACTATTGGTCATACTATCATGATATACATCCATGTTAGGATCCTTGGAGTACAACCCCAGAATTTTACCTGCTTGATGTTTTCACACCATCAGCAACCTCGTAGCCCTAGGGGTGGCCGCCTCGACTTTAGTCCTCCACAAGATTTTGGAGTCTAAGATAAGTCCCAAATACTTCACTTCTGTAGCGACGCCGACCCTGGCCCTCTCCAAGCTCAAGTTCCTCAGCCACTTGCGGGTCCTTTCTAATATTAAAAACCTACATCCACACACCACCTCTTAGCTAAGTTGAGTCCTCTTTGGACGATGTCGCAGATGATAGTTGCGAACTTCTCGGCCGTGTACCCTTGGGACGCCCTCATCAGTGGGTATATGTAGGAGTTCGTCCACTACTAAGCCCCACAAAAAAAGGACCACTTTCGATGTTTGTAATTGAACCACGCTGTCACCGACTACGGCTTCAGCAATCCTAGTATGTAACAGCCTAGCTATCCATTTGCGGGTAGTTGGCTGAAATTAGAGGTGTTCTTGAAGTCCTGCAGAGCACGGATGGCATGGTAAAAACCGGTTTTCCTATGGGACAGCTTGCAAACCGTGCACCGGTCAAGGGCTTTGCAAGACTTCGAGAATGGCGCTATTGCGTTTCTAAAGTGTACTTTCGACTCCCATATGGGATGAATTGTCGAACGCCCTTTCGGTATCAATGAAGGGTCGGCGATAGTAAGTGCATAGCCCAAGAAAACTTCGTAGTTCGTGCAGGTTTTTAGGTCTTGGCCAATCTTTTACTGCTTCTATGTTTTCCTCAGAAGTGCAAACGTCCTCTGTTGTCACCTGGCGGCCTCAGTAATTTCACCTCCTTAGTGAACAACTTTTTAGAACTTGGTTTGAGACCATGGCGAGCTATCCTCTGTAAAACTTTTTCCATATTTATCAGGTGCTCCAAACTTGGTGTCTAATGCAGTCCCTTTTCAAAAGTGACGGAAGCATCGCATAATCTAGATGGTCATCGACGTAAATAGGCACAGAACTTGCCAACAGCCGCTCTTCACGTCGAGTGTTGTGAACCATTTCGTGCCAGTCACCGAGAGTATAATCGATTCTGAGCAGTAGATAGCTGTCCTTCTTGGTCACCTGATTTAATTTTTGGTTTTTCACACAGAACATAATTTCGCCGTCCTTCTTGTTCACAATAACTACAGGCGAACTCCACGGGCTTGGTCATGGTTCGATCACACAATCCTAGCTCATTTCTTTTATTATCTGGCTTAGAGCATCACGTTTAGCGAGTGATACACTCCGTGGAGCATTACGGACTATCCGCAATGTCACTCTCACCAAGGGAATAGCTTTCAAGTAACATTTCACAATTAATGATGGCATTAACCTCTAGACATTGCCCCTGGTTTGCCGCCACTAAAGCATTTTCCAGCATCCTCTTTCTCGGTTGGCTGTTTTCTGAAAATTGTCTGATTGAATTTTTCCTTCAATACGATTTCCTTCTGCACTTCCTTCGTCAAAGAGATGGTGAGTGTAGATCGTTTTCTCGCTAGTATTTTCCAAGATTTGGCGTTATGGCCACAATGGTGTGGTCGCCTTTCTTGTGGATTGGGCAAGTACACTTATATTCCAGTCGTCGGGCATGCGTTCATCTGACCATATTCCGCATAGGAGGTGACGCATGCACCTTATCAACTCCTCGCCTCCGTACTTGAATAGCTCTGCTGGCAGGCTGTCAGCTCCAGCAGGTTTGTTGTTTTTCGAGCGCGATATTGCTATTCGTACCTCGTCATAGTCAGGCGATGGGACATCGACTCCGTTGTCATCAATTGGGGGCTCAGATTCATCTTCTTCCCAACTTTCCATGCTGTTAGCATTCAGTATGGTTAAAAAATGTTTCCTTCATAATTTAAGTACGTTCTAGATATCGTTAACTATTTAGGTCGCCATTGTGGTTCTTACAGGAGTTCACCCTGGTATTGAAACCTTCCGCAAGTCGCTTTAGTCTCTGGTAAAATTGTCGGGTATTTCTCCTGAAGGCCAGCATTTCAAGCTCTTCGCAGTCACGTATTTCAGTTCCCTATAGCGGTCCCACATAGTAAGCGTTCGCCCGTCGTTGTAGGCGTACGCCCCAACCATCGTACCAGTTGTTCTCTCAGGCCGCTGAAATCCGACTACATCTTCGGCGGCGGTACTTAATGAGCGGGAAATGTGTTTCCACTGCTCGCATATGTCGTTTGGTTGAAGAGTGCTCTCTGAGAGCGGGTGCGAAAGTCGAGTAGCGAATGCATTGGCTGTCTGTTGTGACTGCAACTTTTCGACGTTAACTTGCATCTTGGCTGCAACAAGACAGTGGTCGGTGTTTGGGCCTCGGAGTGAACGTACGTCCAAAACACTGGAAGCATGCCTTCCGTCTATCGCAACATGGTCGATTTGGTTTCTCGTTTTTCGATCCGGAAACAGCCACGTAGCTTGATTGATCCTTTTATGCTTGAACCTAGAACGGCATACTCCCATATTGCGACCCCCGGCGAGGTCGATCAGTCTCACTTCGTTGTCGGACGTTTCGCCGTGGAAGCTGAATTTTCCGACACTGGTTCCAAATATAACTTCGTTGCCGACCCTGCGATTGAAATAGCCAATACACGTTTATACATCGAGCCGCTTGCTCCACGAAAGTCTCCCGCTTACGGTCACTTACTGGTGAACAGGCGCTGCTGACTTCAGTGAGCTATGAAACCGAATAAGTCGGAGTGGCCCCACCGAGGCTCACTCTCTTTCTGCCGTGACCCAAGACTCCACTCGGACTCGCATATGGGATTCTCGCGTTGCCCAGTGTGCGTGAACCTGGACTAAACTAAACTTGACTATAGCCCCGAAACCGTGCCTGCATACCCAGAACAACGACTATACCTCATTGCAATCCGATCTGAAACACAACGAATGGTAAATTGCATTGAAATAATCCAAAATTAAAGTTAAGTGTCTTTTAAATATTCATCTGAAATCGGCCCCGAATATGCATTGTAAAGAATCCCTAGGTCGAGATAAATCAAATGGTTACAAATTTATTCTTAAAAACGGCCATTTTTCAGTACTTTGGGAAATTGGTTAACAAAAATTTAACAACACTGTTAGGAACCAACTCTACACACTCTATTACAAACTTTTATTCACTCTATTACTTTACCACACTGTTTTACTCTAGTACTAACGGCTGGCACACGAACAGGGCTGCCGTTTCCACAGTAATCACGCCTTTTTTGATATTCTTTTTTATATTTTATTAAAATTTTTTTTTGTACATTATATATTTTTACAATTTAAAGCACTTAAACCACGTTTTGTACCGAAAAATAGAATTTTCAAATAATTGACTAATCTGACCGCTTTTTTTTATCCTCCTTTTTTATTTTAAATTGCGAAATGTCATCGCTCGTATTATTTGGCAAATAATTTGCAAAATGGTAAATTTTATCGCATAAACCCTGAGTTACTTTTTTATTTGCAAATATTAGTTGTTGTTGTTGTTGTAGCGGCATACAAATTCCCCAAAGACTTTTTGGGGAGTGTTGCTGGAGTGACAGTCCTTGGCCAGATATAAATCTGGGTCGTTCCGGTTACGTAGACCCGACTGTCGTGGGAACGTGCAAATATTAGTCACGCAACTCAGTATTGATTGCTGGTATTACTTGCAAATAACCGGAATACGATGCCATTTTTTAGCTTATTATCTTTTCAATGGTCTTCTTAATGCCTTTTTAAAATATTAACGTTGCCATTTTTAACTTTATTTTCGTTTTCGGCATATTGAACAGTAACCTAGGTATTTGCAAACTATTTTTATTTACTATGCGCTTGCTTAGTTTTCCACCTTCACTGTATTTTCTATTTGGTATTTTTGTTTTTTTTTTTTTCATCTCGATTATGGTACTTCATTGCTAAAGAAAGTTGTCAGCCCTGCGCACGAACAGCTGATTAGCACCTTTCATGCAGCGCCGCATTGTACTGTTTACGTAAAATTTGCCTGATAGCGGCGTTAAATGTTTTCTGCCTTATAAGTTTTTAGCATATTTCTAAAACAAGAGAAAAATTAAAATGAATCAAGCCGATGTGAGTAAGCTGATGTCGCAATTGCGGATTGCAGTGAAACCACGTCGAAATCTCAAAAATCCTGATGGACCTGAGGGACGTTTACTAAAACTACGCAAAACTGTAACTGCGCTGGTCAAGCATGAGCGTATAGAATTGTATTACAATCGAGCTGATGAAGCGCGAGGCTATGCAGAACTGGTAAGTAATTGCAAAGAAATATAACGATATAATAACTCTCCGTTCGTGTTTTATTTATAGCTAATTTCCAACGCAATACGATATGGCGATCGTCACACATCCACAATGGAGCTGGCCGATTATTGGTTGCTTGAAAAACAACTAGTTCATAAGCTTTTCAAAGTTTTGGTGCCACGTTTTGAGAACAGTAATCTTTCATATACCCGCATGTATAAAGCACCCCGAGACTATCCCGGCATGTATTACAGAAAGTCGGTTCTGGAATTGCGTGGAAATCCCTATCCATCATTATTGCCTGACTATTCGAACAATCGTAATTTGATACACAATATTTTGCTAGATGAAGCACGAAAGGATTATAGACGTGAGCGGCTGGCGGAAATAGCTGATAAAATAGCGGCAGAATCTTCTGATAATGCTAAGAAAACTGAAAATGAACCTGAAGCGAAAAGTGTTGAACAAGTGGAGAAAGCTTAAAAATGTAAATTATTAGAATATTTTTGTGAATAGATTTATAATGCGTTAATATTGAGTTTTTCAAATGATTGTTGTAAATGTCGACGAAAGTACAATAATTAAATTTAGGTCGTCAACATAAAATAATCTTTGTGATGAGGTAAATTTTTTATGATTGGATATAGATCTGTCCTATATGAGCTATTTATGACGGAGTTCCTTCTGAATGCAGACGGATGATTACAAAGCTTGCCTTAGCATTAATTAAATGATATATGTGCTTAACAAAGAGATGGTTACTTATATTAAAGATGAACATGTTAACGACCTTACAATATTACGGCAGAGTCCTAGCGAGTAGAAAACTGTTGGTCCCTTGGCCGCCGAATTGAGAGGTAAGCGTATCGTATTCTGCAGAAGTTGATATGATTATATATATTTTATATTAAGTTTACGAAAGCAAGGTACGCTGAAGGCCAATAGTTTTCAACCAGGTAACGTAATGGGTACAACATTTCGTTTACAGTGCGACTCATCAGTAGAGTAGTTGTCAAGGTTAAATTAGCTGTAATTCAAGTTTTTAAACTATATATATATATATAAATACCTTCATATAGTACTTGGGGAAACGGTCCAAAACAATGCATTGGGTTTTTCTGGTTAACTCTGGTTTTCTTTTATCAATTTAAATTACTGGGTAATTTTTGAACTAAGTCATTCCTTTGAAAGGCATTTCTTACTTAACTTACTTTTTATTTGAATATAGTCATTCGCTTGATTATTATATAAACTAATTATAAAGGTTAATTGCTAAAACTCAAACCCACGCAATCATTAGATTTTATGAGCGATTTCAAGAGTTCCTGCAAAGGAAACATTATTGGTGTATCCGTGCAAACCTGTAATATTGCACAATATTTTGTACCAGCTGATTAAGAAAAGTTTGGCAAGTCTTCAGAGTAGTGTTGGAAAAATCTAGTAAGCCAATAGAGGTGTAAAATATTCGATACCACCGAGAGTACTATCGACATTTTTACATACCACACAAAAAGAGAGATTTTCGAACAAGAACAAATTTGATTGTGAACAAAGTACTTAAATATTCTTAACTTGGCAGTAGCACAATAAATTCAAGCATTATTTCATTTTTCTAGAGACCCAATTTGTCAATATGACTATTTTCAGTATATAATATTACAACTGACAGATTTGGAAATTGTTCGGAAGAATTTTAAAGCAAAACGAAAATTTTCCCCCAATTTGTTTGTTTTGCATGTTAAGTTATTGGAATGATTTATTCATATGGAATTGGCGATAAGGCCAATAGTTTAGGAATTATAAAATTAAAACTATCTACATACTCCCATACAAAATTTCGTAAGGGGCCCTGTATCCACAGGAAAACACTGATGTCGTGATTACCATGTCACAAAATATATTTCCAATGGAGACCGCCTATTTCTCATGGGCTGCAATATATGTTAGCGCTTATTGCTTGACATCCACTGCAGGCAATTTGATAGTTTGACAGCCATATTTTCATTTGAAAGAAAGTATGCTGGTGGTAACATCGATGAAATTTTGATATTAAATAAAAAAAAAGGGGTCTGTTCCTTATTGGATTATTTATGATTACGTTTAAGGAATTTATTCAGCAAGTTTTTTTTAAGATTTAAACACCGTAATTGAGAGAGTGCTGTCTGGTGGCGTCATGCGGCAAATGCTTATATCAAGACATCAAAGTGCCCAAACACAAAAACTTGCAATCGTCAAAATGACATTTTTTAAGTCATCGGTATTTGCCTGTGGAGTTCTGCTGTAAGGACTCTGAAATGTTATTGGGGGTAATTCACGACTATCGATAGAGTTTGAGACTACTCCAATTAAAAACTAAAAAGGGTACATACCATGATTCCATAATACAACCTTGGGACTTACATTGATTACACGTCTGCTCCGTGTGACGTGGAGATTTGAACTGTTTACTTGTTTGCCACTTGGTGTTTATACAAATGAGCCCAATTACCAATGTCAGTTTTTGGAAAAAATTAAACTCCTGTGTTTTAATTAAAATTGTATAAAAACATTTGCCCCTAGCCGGAACAACTAACAAATTAAGGTCTACTTGCAGAACATCCAGAGGTAAATATGTATATAAATAGAGAGTTAGGTAGCTCAGAGTTAAACCAAACAATGTCTTACAGCATTGAAAACTGGCCTAGAGTTAGGTAACCCGAGGAAATTCTAAATTAAGTAGGCATCACTCTCTTTTTTGACGTTTATTTACATTTCTTATTTGAATTTGAATATAAAGAGCGAGTGTGAATGGATAACAAAGTTCTATGGGAAAAGCTGTTGAATAATATTTTTACTATGGTGAGACAGTTTTGCCAATCTGCTGTGTGAAATGAAATATTTTTTGATAAAATATTACAAATTGAAGTGAAATTAATATTAAAAAAAACATCTACCATCGTTAATTGCAATTCAACAATTTAAGCTCTTATTTAACGGATAATTACACATATCAACAATCTTTGCGATTGTCAAAATTTTCCATGCATTTGTCAAAAATTTCACTAGCCTCATGAGCTACTGAAATTTTATTCACCTCATAGTTGCCAAAATTTACTCGCCGCGAACGTTGTGACCGATTCACACACGCTCAAAATTTCAAACACTTTCATACATACATAAAAACATACATAGGTAAAACTTGTAAATTGGCCAGCGGAAATTCTGAGAGTTCTCCTAATTAGATGGACCACTAACGCGGTTAGTGCATTTTAATCGCATATATAGACTGACCGAAACCTCTGAGCTGAAGGCGGAAAAATTAATACGTGAATATTATGTATGTTAACCTTCGAAAATTGCTGGACTAAATATTTAACGATTTAACTCCTAACCATTGATTGTGCAAGCCAATTTATCAATTCAACCGGTAAACTTCCAGTTAAATAGATAACCTACTGTTCTGCAAGTGGGCCTAAGAAAGTTAATTTTGTTTAAGAAAAAAATTTGCTCAAAATATTTCTGACAAAAGGTCTGTTGTACTTCCTAGGAATATGAGATTTTCCAAAGATTTCAGTGCAGTGGAAATGTACTATTATGGCTGTTTGCCAACCGGTAACAGTTTTCTCCGTGGTGAGACGGGGTAGCTGCTGTGCCGAATGCAAAGTAAAATTTTGACAAAAAAAAAACAAACGCTCGTGCGAAAGCTCTAGTATTGCGTGTTGCTAAAATTGTAAAAAATTTTATATGTATACATATTTAGAATCTGTCAAAATGTTACCTAGCCCAAAGAGAGTCAAATTTTTAGTTTGAGCCGTCAAAATTTCCTATTTTTTATCAATTGGCACTGGTCCTATGTACAAAAATTATGAGCTAAAGATTTAAATATGGTTGTTTCAAAAATGCCTCCTTGTTACTTCACCTGGTAGAATTCCATATACAATTGGAAGTGTGATGAGTACAGAAAGAAAATGATGCAGATCAAATTTTACTAAAGAAAAGCATTTAAAATATGAAAGAGATTTTACTATCTAGATGTCGCAAACTAGAATAATTTTTCTATTTGTCATCTACTTTTCTCCAGACTCGATGCGAAGATGGCGTTTAAATTTTCTGGAATATTTCAGTTTTTCCAAGATTTTTAAATAAAATTTTTGTGCCCTACTCATTTCTATTTTCGCGTTGAAACGTATGTGTGTACCAGAGAACAGCTTTGAGTATGATCGAGCCTTTTTGATCACACGCACTAAAAATCAAGCACAAGCGAACGCCACACTCGGCTACTATGTGTTCGATCGAGATGCATACCCGACAGCTGCTTTGGTTACGAACGAGTCTGTTCGATCACCCTCGCTATAAATTGAGCACAAGCGAACACCACACTCGGACACCCGCAGCTAACCCGAAAATTTGTGTAACAATGAAACGGACACCCGAACATTGCGATAAAATGCAGGACAACAAAGAAATTTACGCTGAAGGTAACTGGCGCCAATATGTTCCCACAAAGCATACGAAAATGTTGTTGCTTTGTGCTTGTGCATACGCAATGAAAAAATTAGAAGCGAAGTAGACAAAAATGTTTTTGCATCTATTTCGTATAGTTTCGCGTGGAAAGCTGTGTGTGTATATATTAGAACACAGCCTAAAACTATGTAGGTACATAAGTACTTTTACAAAAAATAAATGTGCACCGAGTGTATAGGGCTTGGGCATTGCCGATCTACACACATTTATACCTAAATGGATGTAGGCGTCGTGATGTCGCATTTTGTATGAGCAAAAATATAAGAAATGGTTAAATGTACACTTAAACAAACTACCGAAAAATTCAACCTTCTCTTTGCCCTCTACGCACAAAAACTAAGAACACCGCCATGAGAAGGCAACATTTTTTGTAGAAACAAAAACGTCATAAACCAATCAAGAAAATTTTGTGCACACTCGGGTTGAAACTCGAACACCCGGGTATATTGAGCTTTGCACCCGAACCCAATCAAGTATGTATGAAAAGCAATCGGGTGTTGTGGCCAACATGTTCGTCTTGAGCTCAGTCGATAACGAACAATACTTCTGCTCGTATACAGAGAACGATCCAAAACGGGTTTTGTTAGATAATCGAGTATACACGAAAATCATGCACCCGCTGCAGATGTCTGGTGTGTACTGAGCATTCATCTAATTTACTGTTCCACTCGAACAATTGGGTCGTGTATACATCGCATTACATCGCCTTTGGTGAAGCAATTTGAGCTTGTATTCGTTGCACTATATCGACTATGTAGCAATATCGCGGGTTTCACTGGCAATTAAGCAGCACACAAAAAGGCGCTTCATATTCAGAATAACAGTGGAGGAAAAATTACGAAAGCCAAATTTGCTTTTCAGGCTTTCAGCAGGACATTTGATCAGCTACTGCCGAAAGACTGAAAAGCGCGGAACGCCTGAAAAGCTTGTTGTGGAGTTGTGCTTTTAGTACCGGTTTTCGATACGAGTACTGGTTTTTCGATACCTACTCAGTATTTGGTTCAAAAGTAGCGATACCAAAATTTCTTGGTATCGATCGAAAAGTATCGAGTATGTACTCGTGTTTACTCGTATCGTTTCATACCTACTTGTGAAAAATCAACTTGAACCATCAATTAATTTTAAACATATTTTAAAATGAGTGAATCGAGTAGTGCTGAAGAAGATACTACATTTTATTTTGAAAGTGATCATCTTGCTTTGCGTGGCCATCCAGATTACACAAAAATGTTGCGCACTATAGCAATACTAGAAGTACAAAGAACGCGCGTACTGAAACAGGCTCGTATTGGTTTTATTAAATTCTGTTTAAAGCACTTATGTGTACATATGATTTTAATCATTAAATATAAATATTTTAGATAGAAGATTTGGAGATCGCAAAAAAGCGATACATGGAGAATCCAGAATTGCTGCTTGAAAAGTTGCGAAATAATGAAGAAATCATTGCGCCAAACTACATGACCATTGAAAAGGTAAGTAGCCGATAAAAACATCGCACCTGGCTATTTGGACAATAACCTATATCAAAAGATACCAGAAATATCTACAAATTTGGATCTTATGCCGGAAAATGACGCCAAAGTGAAAGAAGAACCAGAATCGGATTCAAAGCCAGCAACGGTGCGCGGTCGTATTGTGGATGAGTCCAAGTCGGAAACTTTTAACCAAGTAAATTTCTTCACATATATATGTATATGCAAAACTTCTCAATTTTGCATACTTTAAAATTATTTATATGTACGCATCTATAGCTATGGTCCTGTGAAGAACAACGCCGCCTTGAGGAGCTGCTAATCGAATACCCAGCAGAGGCTATTGAAAGTCGCCGATACGCGAAAATTGCTAAAGCACTGGGTAATCGCACACCACAGCAGGTATCCAGTCGTGTACAAAAGTATTTTAAAAAATTGCACGATGCTGGCCTTCCCATACCGGGACGTCGGCCGAAAAATAGGCGTGGGGGTCAATCGAAAGCAAAGCACTTTTTTCGACCAACTACATTTTTTCCCGCATTTAATGTACCTGTAAACATGCCGGAAGATGACTACTCATTTGGTGACTTGCGCTCGGAAAGTTCACCAGCGCCAACAGATAAGCGCAATACCTCCACGGAAACTCCACCGGAAGAGGGAGCCAGTGCCATTGAGTCACTTAGCGCTGAAGATCGTGAACGCATGTTGAAAATATTGAACTTGATAAAAGAAGAGAAAATGAATACGCCCGAAGGTTATAATCCAGATCCTTTAGCTCGTTTGTGTGAGACATGCCGTGTAGCTGCCGTTTCGCGTTTACATTGGCGATGCAACACTTGTTATATATACTTAAATCAATGCTCGGATTGCATTGTGAGTCAGTTGTTGTCACAAAATTTTGAGCATCTGCCACACGATGTAGTTACGGAGACTGATTCGTGACAGGCACATTGGAATCCAAAAGGTGTTAACAATATAATTTGATTTTGATTACTGAACAGCCAAAAGTGTCTAAAACTATTTTATAGCTCAAAATGTTTAGTATAACATACTCATGTAATGCCATAAAGTCTGATCGACGAACTCTGCAGTAGTATACCGTTTTTGGTGAGAATTCTAATACTGAAACAAGAATAACAGATCAAAGTGCTTTCAACTTTTTATAACTAAATTCATTGTCTTTTATTATTATTATGTAACGTATGCACATATGTGCTAAAAAGTAAGTCGTAGAGATGCGCTCATGAAGAAATTTTAAAACCGTCACGCATAACCACGCAAACAAAAATAAAATCATAATATTTTTAAAATTTGCTGAGTTCAAAGTAGCTGCTTAAAGGGATAAGGCTGGAATTTACATAGCCCTTAAATATCGAATCGGATAAATGTACGTACGTTCGATTATAACTTTTCCGTTATAAATGGTAGATCCAGTATGAATAGCCCAATCAAGGATTTTTAAAATCTGACACCAGATTTAGGTTCAGCAATCATGGAAACCCAGAAATGTTTACACAAGCAGGACAATTACAATTTTTAAAATCCGAGACCAGATTGTATTCCTGCTTAAAAAAGTATCATTTCATTTCATTTATTTGGTTTTGTCAATTTTATTATTTGTCGGTTCGTAAGTTTGGTGAATTGCATCTATTCTACAACATATTAGTGGTATTCTTCAAATTGGGCAAGTGGCCTGGCAGTCTGGCAAAAGAACAGGTGGGCTCAAGCAACGACTGTTGACAACACTCACTTGCCACTTGCTCACTTTGGTGAATACCACTATCGAATTTCAAAAATCGCTCGCTGATTTTAAAAGAGCAAAAGTGTACAAACATTTTCAGCCCTTAAATTTAGCTCTGTTCCGGTTGACATGGAACGTCCCATATACATCTAGATATACAGTGGTCGAAAAAATTATAGCCCTACCACATTTTGACAAATTTTAACATAATATTTTTGTTATTTAATTTAGATTTTTTTTATAAAAACATAGTTCATGCGTTATATGGAAGCAAATGTGACAAAAAAATCCAAAAACCGTAATTTTTAGTAATTTGAAAATTATAGTTTATATTTTATTAGAATTTAATCATTAGGAATCATTCAAGGAAATCTAATTAAAAATGCTAGACATTTTTACGAAAGCTTGTTGATTTTTTTATGGAGCTTTCTTTCTGAACGTTATCCACACCCACCCTGTCCATTTTTCTTTAAACTTAAATTTGTTTTAGATATGTATGTAAAATGCATGAAAAACAAGCTTTTCAATGCCGAGTGGCAAAATAACGTGAGGGCCAATTCTACGTTCAGATAGCATATATGTGGGGTTCCTTTCACCGTCAGGGTCATTCGGTGAAACAAAATTATTGAATAGGAAGATTGATGGGGGGCGAGGAGGGGAGGGTTAACGTTCCGAAAGAATACCCCTTATATATTGTACAAAGTTAGAAACTTGGATTTACGCGGGTTTTCTTAAACAATGCTCTATATTTTTTTTATAAAAAATAATAACCAAAATTAAATAACAATAAAAATAATGTGTCAAAACTTGTCAAGATGTGGTGCGGCTATAATTTTTTCTACCACTGTATTTTTATTTTTAACCGACTTCATAAAAAGAAGAAAGGTTATCAATTCGTCGGAATATTTTATTTTTTATTTCTTTTTTATGTATGTTATCGCATAACTTCGGACCACGTTAACGGATTTTTATAATCCTTTTTTTTTTTTTAAGGAAAGGTGTTACCTCACAGGTAGTCCCATATTAATTTGGTTTAAAT